GCTTGACTGTTAGCTCATTTTTTTTATTGTTAATCTTTCATGGGACTCTACCTTAATTTGGCGTCTGGAGTCACACGTAGGCCAGACCAAGTAAAAATGACAGATTTCCTTCCTTAATAAATATTAGTGAACCAGATGTTTTCTTCTCGTCCTGACAATAATTGCTTAATGGCGACAATACTGAGACAAGCTTTCAGCTGCAGACAAATTGCTAATTAATTGAATGCACTTAATTTTTTTTTAAAATTGTAACTCCACCAGCTGCTGTAGTTGAATTTGAAAGCCTATCGCCAGGGAATTAGCCTGAGTGTCTGGTGTAGTGGTCCACTGGTCCACTGACATTATCACTAGAGCATCATCTCCTGGAGTGGGACTTGAACTCATAACCTTCTGATTCAGAGGCAGGGGTGCTACCAACCCATCTGGCTGAGGCCGTTAAACAATGCTCATCCCCACTCACATGGACACCAGTCTCTGCTGGTCATGAACCTACACTGCCTGAACACTGCTGAGAAAGTCACAATACAAAACTTCATCATCACCAAACTTGCCCGTTCTGCCTGTGGGAGGGCAAAATTCTCCACCTTGCGCCTATCTGTTTGCACAAGTTGTAAAATAGTCATCCCTTTGGGCTCACTCACCACACATTAAGCTGCAGGATTCTCAGCTGCATGCTACAATGCATTTTGTGTCAGGCACATCATGTGTTACTTCCTCCTTGTGGCCAGCAGTTCCCTTCCAGATAATTCATGCACATGTTTGTCATTCAGTTGAAAAGCTGATGACAACACTACATGGCCAATTCCTTCTGATTTGTTCTGTCCACCGATAGCTGTCTTCGAAGAACTCAAAGACTCAGAGGGGGTTGATTTGACCTAGCAACTTGTCAGAGTGGAGACAGGGCAGCAAATGTCCCTCTAAATTATCAGGTCATTCCTGATGTTCTCAGCCTATGGGAGATCATTCATTGCATAGTGTCTTTGTGAAGGTAACAAATGTCCTTGCAGAGAATTATAAACCATGCCCCACTGAATCACCTCCACTACCTACAATGATGATTTGCACATTACCAATAGGAATATACCAGAAGTGACTATAATGCAAACAGATAGAATAAGAGTAGAAATAAATCAATCATTCAGCCCCTTCGAACCTACTCCACTGTTCAATAACGTCATGACTGATCTATTTTTATTTCGGATCCCACATTCCCGTATATCTTGATAACCTTTGATTCCCTGGCCAGACAAGAGTCCATCCACCTCCATTACACATTGTGCAAACAGTCAAAAACCTAGCCTCTACCAGCTTCTGGTGCAGAGAGTCCCCGAAGTTACACAAACGCTGGAGAGAAAAATATTCTTCCCATCTCTGTCCTGAAAGGGCATCTCCTAACTTTAAAACAGTGCCCCCCAGTTCAAGACTCACCCACAAGAGGAGAAATCCTGTCATAATAATAGTCTGCATTTGGAAAAGAATGAATGACACAAACCTACTGCAATAACAACAGTTTCACCTGTTTGAGGTTTCACAAGGCTGTAGATGTGGCAAATAAAAAGGATGTGGATTTTCAATAAAGGATCCATGTGCCAATGGGAGGCCTCTCTAGAATGTGCCAACAGCCTTTGGTTATCCAGATTACAGATACCATTGTGTCCCTAAGCGGAGATTGGTTTCACAGTTGGATGAACTACTTTTTGAGTACAAGATCATAGAGAGGGGAGCAGTTGGAGAGGGGAATGTTGTCTTACCTTGAAGTAGAGGGTTCGTTCTGCCCCTCCTGATAGAGTTCAGAGAGCTGAGGTGCTCCATTGACAACAGCATACGGAGAAGGTTTATGGAATAAATTGTCTGATGTGTCGATGCTTTCCTCCAGCCTGCCTCGTGATATGTCACTGATGTCTATTCGATGCTGCAATGCCCTATTACCAAAGCCGGCTTCTGTCGCCCCATGCTCCAGGAACTGGTTGCTTTCCTTGATTCGCTGCTGAATCATCGGGGTGAGCGGCATTTCAAAGCTGAAGCCACATTCACTCTCGTCCGTGGAGGAAATCATTTCCAGTGAGTCCAGGCTGTTGTACGAGGTACCTTTCAGATGCTGGCACTCCATAATGTGTTCAAACTGTGAGCTGAAAATATCAGTTACCTCACTGGGCGAAGTCCAGGTACAATCAAACTCTGGCTTGTTTGTGACCGTCAACATCAGTAAACTAAGGAAAGAACAATCAGAAATAGTTAGGAAAGTGTAGGAAATCCAAAATGTTTTACACACAAGTCTGATTATTCCTTTCATTGCAGCAGTTAACTTCTCCACAGCAGCATCCATCGCTTTTGAAACTTCACTATCCTAAGTTGTTCTACTAAAATTGCAAACCCCTCTTTCACACTCTCATCGATGAAAACTTTCAATACAAGTTCCTGTGGTGCTCTTGGAACCACTGTTACAATTTGTAGGGGAAACGTACAAGAAGGTATTGTTTCAGATTAAGCAATCAATCATTGAAGATAGAGTTGAGAAATTTATTTTCCCTTGAAGGTTACAAGTGTCTGGATTTCTCTATCCCAGAGAGTTGTGAGGGTTGAATTATTGAATATTGTCAAATCAGAGGTAACCAGATTCTTAAAATACAAGGGAGTCAAAGGTAATGGGGTCAGGCAGAAAAGGGAAGTTGAGATCAAGACCAGACCAGCCAGGATTCTATTGAATGGCAGAGAAAGCTCAATGGGACTTAAAGCCTTCCCATGCTCTGATGTCTTGCGCTGTTCCGTAAAAGATGCTTCATTGTAACTTGAGAAAGTTTACTCTCTTCTCCAAAAAAAAACTTCACAACTTCCTCCCTTGATTGTAAGTTCTCATTCCACACACAGACCCTCCCAGACCTGTCAGCCAAGGGCAAATGGTCAAACTATACCATCAATTTGTCAACTCAGCAAGCATTCAGGCCTACCCAGGCCAACTGGTCAGCCCACTCTGCCAACGGTATAAATTGAATGGACCAGGAGTAACAAGACATAAAATTGATCAGTCATTTCTCATTTCCCAATAGAATCATACAATCTCTCCAGTGTGGAAACAGGCCATTCGGCCCAACAAGTCCACACTGCCCTTCTGAACAGCTCCCACCCAGACCCATCCCCCTACCTGTTCTCTTTAATCCTACATTTCCCATAATATAGCCACCTAATTTACACATAAGTCTTTGATTAGATTGCCATGACCGCTCAGAAAGCATGGTTAGGATGAGGAGTTGACTGGAGAATCACAGTCCTCAACCTAAGTATTAACAGTCAGTAACATCTGACTGTTTCTTGTATTCACCTGAAATTGCCAATTCTCACTGATGTATTGCCCATGTGCTGGGAATACATCAGTTCATAGCATGAAAGATATTCTTTACATATGAACATGGGAGGCAGCCACTCACAGCTAAATCTGTTCTTATCTCACTCAACAGCCACAAAGGTGTACTTTTCATAGTGTCCATTAGTCTTCATCAGAGCATAGACAATTGATGATTTACCCCTCCTAAGTCCAAGTGCAATTTGAGGGTAAGTTTAATACTGTGGCTATCAGTGCTGATGAAATTAGGGAGTCCCTAATTCGTAATGTTCACGTGCACACCAGCTCACAAGATCATTGGGAGAGAGTCTTCTGTTGGGAAATCAGCCCGGTCTCTACCTTGTCCACTTGGCTGACTGATTTCACCAACATCACCAAGAATGGGGTACTCAAAACTACAGGAAATTATTATTCTATCACAGACCGGGAGACAGCCCAATCCCTTACAAAACTAGCATGTAAATAATTGAGGATTTCATGAAGTCTACCTGACAACATATGATCAATGCAGAATACAAAAAATGCTGGAGATCACAGCGGGTCAGGCAGCATCTGTGGAGGGAAAGCAAGCTAACATTTCGAGTCTGGATGACTCTTCATCAGAGCTGAAGTGAAGTGTGGAGGGACAGCATTTATGCTATCGTTGGGCGGGGGGTGTTGAAGTGCGGGTGGAGAAAGGGTGTTGATAGTTCAGATGAAGTGATCAGAATGTGAGAATAGCAGAACAATGCTATGTTTAACTGCCAAACTAGAAAAAAGATTGTCCCACTGGAGTGGGGGGGAAGGGAGAGAGAACATGGTGGCAGAGAATGTAACAAGCAAATGGAAAGAAAGGGAAGGAATGGGTTCACAATTTGAAGGTGTTGAACTCAATATTGAGCCCAGAAGGTTGTAAAGTGAAAACCGAAAGAACTGCGGATGCTGTAAATCAGGAACAAAACCAAAGTTGCTGGAAAAGTTCAGCAGGTCTGGCAGCATCTGTGAAGGAAGAAAAAGAGTTAATGTTTCGGGTCCAGTGACCCTTCCTCAGAAGGTTGTAAAGTGCCTAGTTTGAAGATAAGATGCTGCTCCTTCAGTTAGTTCTGTGATTAAATGGAGCACAGTAGCGTGCTGAGGACAGACAAGTGGGCATGCGAGCAGGACGCTGTGTTAAAATGACCAGCTACAGGGAGGTCATGGCTGTGCTTGCGCATGACCAGAGGTTTGTGCAAAGCAGTCACCCAGTCTGTGTCTTGTTTCTCCAATGTACAGTAGGCCACATTGGATGCAGCAAATACAATACACAAGACTGAAGGAGGTACAGGTGAAATGCTGCTTCACCTGTGAACACTGTGGACTTTAGTACAAAGTGCGGAGGGCAATAAACATTTCACCTTATTTGTAAATTAAAGAGACCTGCGTTTTGCAACATACTGTAATTGTCTGTGTACTGAAGTGCTCATGATTGTGCCATCCCATTTCTAATTTATATTTTCATTTTAATCATTGTCTATAACAATGTGATGAATGATGATCACTGTTTCATTTATAACATCACAACTTGGCACTGGTTGCCACAATCATTTTGCAGTAAACTAACTGTCTCTCTGTTGATCAGATTACAAACATACAAAATCCAGGGGCAGGAAAGGTTACCTGCTCCATAACGCTGCCTCACACTCATGATGATTGTGACATTATGATTAAACACTATCTCTACCATCCACTGTCATCTAATCTCCTGGAAGAGGAGATTCCATTGCTTTGGAGCCTGAGTCAATAGTCATGTGCCAGCTATCAAGATTTCTAACTGAGTGAGCACCATTGTCTTTGCTAGATTCTGTATCTCAAACACACCCCAGCTCGATTAATGGTATAACAGGGCCCCACAAGCCACATCACGCATTTATCAATGTTCCAGAGTGATAGAGTTGTGCAGCACGGAAATGGACCCTTAAGTCCAACTCATCCACGATAACCAGACATCTTAAATTATTCTAGTCCCATTTGCCAGCATTTGGCCCATATCCTTCCTATTCACATACTCATCCAGATGTTTTTAACTGCTATAATTGTACCAGCTTCCACCACTTCCTCTGGCAGCTCATTCCATACACGCACCAACCTCTGCCCCTTAAGTCCCTTTTAAATCTCTCCCCTCTCACCTTAAACCTATGCGCTCTAGTTTTGGACTCCCCTACCCTGGGAAAAAGACCTTGGCTACTTACCCTATCCATGCCCCTCACGATTTTATGAACCTCTATAAGGTCACCCCTCAGCCTGTGACACTCCATGGAAATTAGCCCCGGTCTATTCAGCCTCTCCCTATAGCTCAAACCCTCCAATCCCAGCAACATCATTGTAAATCCTTTCTGCGCTGTTTCAAGTTTAACAAATTCTTTCCTTTAACAGGGAGACCAGAATTGAACGCAGTATTCCACAAGTGGCCTAAGCAATGTCCTGTACAGCTGTAACATGAAATCCCAAACCCTAGACTTGCACCTTACCTTCCAACTTTACAACAATTATTTTTATCCTTTTACCAGCTCACCAACAGCAACTAGAGTGAAGAAATCGGCGATATTTGGCAGACTTCATGTGATCACCAGAAACCATGAGGCTTTCTTTGTTCTTGGACTGAAATAAGTTTTGTTAATTCTGCAGACAGACAGGCTTTCCATCCTAGAGATTATACAATTTTAAGGTTTGAGTGAATTAAATTGGATACTTTCCAAAAACCCATTGTTGTGGATAAGTGGGGGGCACATTGACATGTTACAGATGGATTTCCAGACAGCATTTGATAGGGTGTCACATCAAAGATTAATAGCAAAGTAAAGGCACATGGCATAGGGAATAACATTTGCATGAATAAAAGATTGGATGGCAAAAAAAAAGAATATATATAAATGGATCTTTTTCTTGCTTGGCACCATGCAACAATTGGATCACTGCAGGGATCTATGCTGGATCCTCAATGTTTTACAATTTATATCAATAGCTTAGAGGAGGTTGGTAAACGCATGGTAGTTTGCAGATTTGCACATTTGCAGATAATGCAAAGATTGGTAGAAAAGTACGCTATAAAGCGGATATAAAGGGTTGGAAATGGATATAGTTAGGTTGAGTAAGTGGGCAAAAACCTGTGAGATGAAGTATAACGTAGGAAGGAATGTAGAATTATTCACTTGGGTAGGAAAAATAAAGAAAAAAGTGTTACCTAATAGGAGTTCAACTACAGAATTCCGAGGAATAAGGGAATCTAGCTGTTCTAGTTTGGGAGTCACTAAAATTAATATGTAGATACATCAAGCAATTACGAAGGCTAATGGAATGGTATTGTTTAATTCATGAGGAACTGTAAATGAAAGATGTTATGTTTCAGTTATACAGACCATTGATGGAACCACATCCTGAATACTGTGTGCAGTTTTGGTTTACTTAAGGAAGAATGTACATTTATTGGAGGTTGTTCAGAGAATGTTTACTCGATTGATACTTGGTATGTGCACGTTATGTATCTTATGAGGAAAGGTTAGACAGACTGGGCTTGCTTCGAATGGAGTTCTGAGGAGTGACTTCATTGAAGTATGTAAGATCTTGACTGGTCTTGACAAGGCGGATGTGAAAATAACATTCCTCCTATGAGTGAGTGCACAACTAGGGGGCATTGTTTTGAAGTTAGTGGTCACCCTTTTTAAGGCAGAGGCGGACGGATTTTTGTAATCCAAGACAATCAAAGGTTATTGGCTATAGGTGGGAATGTAAGATTCAATTCAGCCATGACCTTATTGAATGGTGAGGAGGCTCAACAGGCTCCTTCTGCTGATTTGCATATTTGTATCTGGTGAGGACGTCAAATGTACTTGGGACAAATTCAGATGCAACATG